CCCCCAAAACCCCAAAACCCCAAAACCCCTTATTTATTTTGAATGATTGAAACAACTTCTTTCCAAAGAAGATTGACTCGTTATATAAATCTGAATTCTTCTGGCTGTTTAGTGTTCTGATATCTTGGCACATCAGCAACCTTGCAAGGGATATGGTAATGCCCTGGACCTGGAGAACCTTGCTTTGATGTATTTCCTCTCTTTCCTGTCCCGAAACCAAATGAAGGAGAGGATTTTATTAATTTTGTCTTTGGATTATTATATTGTCCTGGTCCAGGAACAGTCTGTATTAAGATAAATTTCTAGAATTTATATTCTTACCTTTTTGCTTGTTAAATTTCCATCTCTACTCTCAGTTCCAATTCTAAAATTAAAATATCTGTCTTACTTGCACTTTGGACCTGATGTTCTGACCGTTTCAGGGCGTGGCCTGTATTGCCCAGGACCAGGAGTATTTGTTCCTTGAAGTGTCACATTTCTCCCTCTCATTCCGTACTATTGGTTAATTCTAAATGTCTTACAGCTGGTCCAGATTTTCTAGAAGTAATGGTATAGTTTCCTGGACCTGGAGTCCCATTCCTAGCAGACATTGGTCTTCTTTTGTCAGTTCCTATCTTCCAAGTAGGATTTTTATGCATTGTCTGATTTCTGCTTGGATCGTATTTATTTGGGCCAGGACTTTGAAGGCGATCTTTATTTATAGAGCTCCTGGCTGCTCCTGTCCCCATCCCATATTTTGGAGCAGACTTTTTAATATAAAGATTCTCATTGTATTGTCCTGGACCTGGAGTTCCTCTTCCTTTTGCAGGTGCAGACTCTGGTCTTCTTGGAAGCACGAGTCCTCTTGGTGCTGTCTTTCCATGAACTTTCTGGTTATAAGTTCCTGGCCCTGGACTTTCTCCATGCCCTTTAATGCTATCTCTTTTCTCAGATCCAAAACCTGTAATCTTTTATGAAACCTTACCGTATTTTGGAGCTGCCATCTTTGTATTAGTAGTAGAAATTGAGTACTGGCCAGGTCCTGGACTCTAAAATTTAGGTTAATTTTTACTCCTCTTTCATAAGAACTGGCTCTTCTCTCTTTCCCAAAGCTTTTGCCTCTCTGCTTAGTAGGAATGGTCGATTTGATATCATAGGTTCCTGGGCCGGGGAATTGTTTACCAGTCTGGGAAAACTGCTTCTTGCCTCCAAATCTGTGAATAGTTAAGGTTTGCTTACGTGTATCCTTTACCTTTGACACCTCTATAAAATGGATAATACTCAGTCAACTTACAGTAAATCTGAGGTTGAATAAGTTCCTGGACCTGGGTTTAGCTTGCTAAAGTCAACTTTAGTCTTCATTCCCATAACATAAGTTGGTCCTTTCCTGGAAATTTAATTAAAGAGTTACTTCTTGTTGTCAGACTCGTAAGTGCCAGGACCTGGAGTCTTCCCAGAATGATGTAGTCCTTTCCGTTTCTGAGTTCCTAGCCTGAAAAATTAAGGAAAATATTTACTTCCAAGTTGGAGCCTATATGTCAAATGCCAAATTTACCTTATTTTTGATACTATTTGTACTTGTCTCCATATGATCCGGGACCTGGGTTGAGATTGCCCATGCTGAATGACTGACCCACTAAACTTAAAGATTAAACCAATAGTTGGCAATTTCGACTTTACGGTTATAAATTAATTTCAAACAACATTATTAATGCTATGAAGGTAATCCAAAAATTAAACTTAATGCTTTCCCTGTATATTCTAAGGCATATTATAAAGCTTTAGAAGTGAACATGAAGAACTTATTTCTTACTTCTTGAAGCCTTGCCAATAGAGTAAGCTCTTGACATATTTAGTTAAATATTTTATTTCTTCTAACTTCAATATGAAATAAAAAATAGGGGTTTTGGGGTTTTGGGGTTTTGGGGTTTTGGGG